TTTTTAATGCTAAAATTAGCTTGTTTAATATAAAGACACAAATTCCGAAAAATTGAAGAATAATTCAGAAAAATTTATTTCGCGAAAAAAACTTTAACTAGCTCATTAAAACAAATAGTAGATTTTTTATTTCATAAACAATTCTAGTTAAAAATTTAATGATATATTACACTGAATGTTTTTTTTTGCGCTACACGTCCAAGTCTAAAATTCTATGTACTCTTTTTTAATAGGATACAATTTACTGGTTTCCAACATTGAAATCTTTGTGCAATCGCTACTTTATACTCGCATGTTATGAATATTAATTACCTTTAATCTTTCATCTACCGAAAGAGTTTCAAAAAAACAAAAATGTGATTTATACATCCATTAAAAATGATGTACATGCAAATAGAATTAAATGCCTTGAAGTCGTTCGTACAACATTTTTAGTTTTTTTTTTGAGTCCATCTAGATGCAGTAGTATGAATAATGTACAATGATTGATATTCAAACCGTCACCTTTGACTCGACAAGCATATTATTATGTTGGCTGTATTATTATTTTAATCGTCAGATGTGCTTAATACAGAAATATGTTAGGCGCCTACTCGGCCGTACGCTCACCTATCATTACGATTATGTTTAATTCATGAAGATGTGTTAATATGCGTCCAACGAAGATCGATCTATACGTGTGCAACTCTTGGCAGAGTTATTGACATGTACCGTGTTAGGCTATTTACGCTCGTTTCGAAAAACTCAGTCGTACGCGCCTTGTGTTATTATCAATGATAATCTGCCCGTTCGGACTTTTATCAATCAAGTCGTCCGTTTCGTTAACATATAACTATACTTGACCTTAAGAGACAAGGTCAGCGAACTTTGTTCTTATCAGTGTTCCGCTTATTGAATCGGAAACGTTTCAGATGTTGTCTGCAAAAGTGTAGTTTTTAGGGGAATTTGAGGTTATTCGCATACAACGTATAGAAGTATACATAATATAACCTCAAATTCTGCTAAAAACAGCGGTTTGCGGACATATTGTTTAGTTTTGTTGACTATGTCGACTCAACATGTGAAAATCTTGAAACGGTTTGCGGGGCAGAGTAAGCCGCGGCCGTATCAACTTTTTATTGTCATCAAATATTTTGTCAAGTAAACCTTCAGGAAAAAAACAATGAAATATATTTATTGAAATAAAATGTTGATGCTTTGTAAAATATTATTAATGTAATATAGTATTATTTATGAATATAGGGCGTATGTGCTTAATATAAAATTGTATTTCAGATAAAGTTAATGTGTGCGTTAAACTAAAAAGTATCCACTATTTTGAGAATCGAAAAATGTCTAAGTAGGACATGCCCCCAATTCACCCCTCATTAATGGACACCAGTGCATAGCCACATATCATTATAGACAGGTCGCATTTTATGTGCATTTATAATCACAGTAAACCGACTTTTTGGTGTGACAACGTCCTAGAGCCATATAGGTAGTACTAGTGAAAGTCAAAATTATCATGCCATTGACCGATGTGATACATTGCGAACGTGACACAAACCGATAAATTAAGACGGTTTGAACATCCAAGTATGTCGTATCGATCATTGCGACCGGTTTTTAAGGCGTTCAAAAAATGCGTTTACAAACGCTAAAAAACTGAGTGGATCTCAAATCGACAGCGAGAAAGTATCGCGAACACATAAACGTCAACGGTGTTGTTGCGGCTGTCTTCAGTGACAATAATTTATGCTAAAAATATCTAAAATAACTAGCCGCCCGTTATACGGATAAGTGTATTGATCGACAGCGGCTATTAATAAGATTAACGGTATACACACAGGAGTAGTTCTATTTTTCTTGGAAACAATTTTACAGTTTGTCGAGCTTTTATCTGTCCTTGTGTCGTTAAAATAGCGACGTTTCAATACAACATGCGACCGTAAATTTTTAATGGAATATTATGAGAGTTGCACAGAAATATAAAAATGAATAATAGTCGGTGTGGATCGTAAAAAAAAAGAATTATTATACCCACAAACACATTAAATCGATATCAGCTCTGCATAATACTATTTAAAAACTAACGCATTATTAATATATTTTTTTTTTATTATTGTAGTGCACAAAGCCAGCCAAAATGTGTGATTTGCGGTACTTAAACGTGATCGTATAATATCATAATGTTTTTTTTCCTATTATTTTATGGATGTACGGTTTTCTGTGCAGTAACAATAATATGTCATGATTGCGCAGACACGACCGTCCCAAATTGACCCAAAAGCCGGTGACATAAATTTGTAAGGTACTCACTTGCTCGAAACAATCGTTTAGGTACAATTTTTCATGCGTTGGGTCATCCGAGACAATAGTTATTTCCTTGTAGGGTAACTACCGGAAGGTAAAATCTCTCTGGAATTTTTTATCCCAATGGCCAGTTTAAAAATGTGGAATATGTTAAAAAAACATTATGCAACTAGTAGACAAAATAGAAACACTATTAATTGTTTAAAAAACTTATTGGAAAATTTCAAATAACGTGCTTAAAATGAACTTAAAACGAAACATATTATCATATAATAAACATAATTAATTCATGCAACAATTTGTTTTCTTTATTTGATTTTCATGTTTGAAAATATTTGACGATACCAAATTATTTTATATCATAAGTAAACAGTCATTCGTTTCAAAGTATAATTTAAAATAAGTTATAATTAAAGTATTTGTTTTTTTTTTTCATTGTAATTTAATAATTTTTGTAGACATGTAAAAATTATTCATTAAATGGTAATGTAATGTGTGGCACTAACAATGTACATTTTGCAATAAGACATTTAATTCAATGACATGAATTTAACAATGAATGATTTAGTTAGATTACCGTATCTATTTACAACACAAAAAACTATTAATGTAGAACGTTACTTATACAACTACAAATTAACTGTGATTATTTTTTTATTATAATTTATAATCTATTCCAATTTGTTAATACAATGAATTATGTTTCCTTTTATTACGTGGTGGCATAAGTTTTTAAGAATTGTTTTTATTGTATTTTACATAAACAAATATATGTAACTTTGTAACTTGTAAAAATAATTATACATTTCAAAACCATGTCCTTTTTTTTTTGATAATATTTGAAAATGTTTTAGTTTTAGTTTTAATGAACGTCCGTATATTTTTGGCTTTATGTTTTACAAAAGTTTTTCATAAACTCTACTTAGTTGTTTATGCATCGAATATTTTTATCTTCCTATTAATTTTGCAAAAACAATGGCTTGTCAATCATTAATAAATTGTCAACTTGATTATACGTTTAGTATTTCGGAACAAGAATAATAAAAACCAAATTATTCATATTGAAAACTTTTAGATTTCCTAACAGGTGAACATAATTTTAATTCTTAGGGCAGGACGAAAAAACCTACACTTAGAAAACTACGTTGAATAAACCGAGTTAAACAATATGTAATCATTGTGTTTGTTTGTGTGTGTGTGTATATGTTCTTAAAAAAAATAATAATAATAATTATACTCTGCCATTAATGATCGGGGCAATATTCGAAGGTTTGTTTTTTTTTAGTTGAACAACAAATTACAACAACGTTGTAATACAATGTCGATAAACTAAGCGTGGGGTTTGAAAAATAATTATCAAACACCGTACGTTTTTTTTCGCAGTTAACATTGTTTTACATACAAATGACTTACGGATTATATTATTTTCAAGTTAATTTGTTATTTATATTACATTTTCCGGAACAGCGTTTTAAACTCCGCNTTAACATTGTTTTACATACAAATGACTTACGGATTATATTATTTTCAAGTTAATTTGTTATTTATATTACATTTTCCGGAACAACGTTTTAAACTCCGCGCGACTCTACTTGTTTGAGGATATGCTGAAATTTTATACATTTTGCAATTACATCATAAAACTACGCGTTACAATACAAATGCGATAGAATTTTTATGTTCATCATTCGAGTAGATTATGTTTAAAAAATACACCTCAACGGCAGCATATACCGGTATATTAAATGTATTCAAAATTCATGTGTAAGTAATGGGGTGTTTTGTTTCTAACCGCATCACAATTGATTATTTTCGATTGACATTAAGTACCTGTAAATTTTAATACTTTATTGTGATCATGTCGAGTTATTGTATTATAATTTTATTTGCATGAACAATAGATAATCAGGTAAAAGTGGTAATAAAAATTATGTGTAATATATTTTTGTTATTGTAGTTGTTATGAGTTATAACGTTGTTATGAATGTCACATGGTGCGGGTGCGGCTAATATATTACAAGAATAATAGTACGAGCGGTTGTAAATGTCCTGCAGTTGCCTGTCGGTCGGACCCACTGCCGCCACTGATTAAGTCAGGAGATACACGCGCGCTCACGTACTTACGTACGTCTGCCGGCCGCCACTGTTTCCCCCCTCGCCATCGTCCACCGACGCTGTCATCGCATGGCTTACAAGCTCCCTGGGTGGTACAGACTTTATACTCCATCATGAGATTATAAAGATTTTATACATAATGCATAATATAAATATCTAATAGTTGTAGTTGACGGTAAACAAATGCTAGTTGCACACTCGCTCACATCGCATCTTGACGTTAATAATTTATCATCCTAGACTTGGCCAATTAATTCTATTTATTTAACAGAAATTTTTTTTTAAATTTACTACACAAAATTATCTCTCCTCTGTAATTAATAAACAAAATGCATTAAGGGAAAACGCCGTTAACTAAAAATAAAAACATTACATTTATTATTTATAACTTTGTATTTTTTTTTACACGTAGAAAATTCTACGTCTTTTCGTACTTGTAAAATTTTGTGCTCTATAACAGACGGAAAAACATGGATAACATTTCAATGTGTACAATAATTATCGTGTGTACGATAATACCGTGCCGGTATTACAACCGCGCCACTGTCGGCGGATACGACGTCGTATGGCCGGAGGACTCAAAGACTCATCCAGTCTACCAGCGCGTATGTTGGACAGTCTTTCTACGACACCAGTGCCGTAAGCATCTCGCTCGTTTACTGTTTGTAGTGTGTGTCCGACCGAAGTTAAAATAATTATAGTTTGTGTGAATTTTAATATTATTTGTGAATTTCGATTTTGTTTTCTGTGAACTGTGATCCAATTGATTACCGTATTCGACTATGGCAATTATGGATACGAATTCCGAGAATCACCAGTATCAATACATTCAGGATAACTCCATGGCATCGGTTAGTTGACATATTCTTGAACAATTTGACTTTTTTATTTTAACAGAAAATACTTGACGAACACAAATATACACTCGATGTGTTCGTTCGCTTTTTATAATTTAGTTCAAATATCGTCACTGCCTTCACTCATCTGTCTTTTGCTCGAGTTTCAATCAAACGATTGTAAAATACTTAAATTGTCTTTTCTTTCTAAAATGTGTTCATATTTTTCAATCATTTTTTTTTAATTGGTTTTCACGAGTTGGTTTTTATTAATCGCCCGCACAATTTATTACCGTAAAACATTATTTTCTCTTTATACACTAAATAAATACAAAGTGCCGATGAGAATTCTCTGAAAAGATTAACCCCCCCGTGTATGTGATGATAATGGATGGGCGGTAACCGCGTTGGCACGGTCAAAGAATTAACCGCCGATGAATTTATTACTTGTCGGCCGATCGAAAAACGTCCTCCCCCCGAGTGTGTATGTATACGGAGTTACTGCATTATTTATCATTGTGACAATGCGTGTCATGTTTAACGACTAGGCCGATAACAATGACTTTAACCATTATCGAGTCATCTCGAGATAATCTATTATTTATACAAAAATTGTAATTTTTCTTTTCATTTGTTATTTTCAGCTGGATTCAAAGACAAGTCCGCTGGCCATGTTAGTGCGCACCTGCAGCCAAATAGGCGCTGATCCACCGACGGTTCCTAAATCCAAGAAGCCACCGACACCAGCCACGACACCTATGACAGCTGCCGATCGTCCACACAGTGCTTCGCCTGCTGCCGCTTATCATCTGAGCCAAACCAAGCGCAACTACAACAACAATTACATTGAAGATCCAAAACCGGCAAAGTTGAATTTTAAACCGTATGAAAATACTGTACTCACCCATAACAACAACAACGACGATGACAGTAGACCCAGAAGCAGTAGCTCCGAGGACAACAACGCGAGTACCAAGAAGAGGAAGTCGGCTTCTCCTCGAGACGATTGCCTGACCGCTGCCAAGAGACGAGCGCCCGAAACAGAACAGCAAACCGCTAATCCCATCATAAGATCCGGTTTAGAAGTGATGCACGGCACTAAAGGTTTTTGTCCTCCGCCACCGTCGTCTTACAAGTCGGACGCTCTAGCCGCTTTTAGGCACACGTATTTACCCGGTGCTCCTTGGATGGCCGCTTCGTTGGCCGCCGCCGCTGCAGCCGCTGCTCACCACAAACCTGCCGGTGGTGATTGCAAGGATCCAATCTGTCTGTCTACCGGCGGTTGTGCTGCTTCCGCTGTTAGCCCATACCATCACTCCGTGATGGCTGCCGTTGGATGTCCGGCCGGTTGTACACAATGTGATCAGCAACGTTACTTATCTTCGTTGATGGCGGCCGCAGCACCATTTTACGCCCCTTCCGTGGCTCGCCCGTATACATGTAGTTGGGTGATACCGTCTCCATCATCACCGGCAACGGAATCACCAGCCGCTGCGCCTTCGTTGTGTGGCAAGAGCTTCAGCACGTCCGAAGAACTATTGCAACACATTCGAACCCACACTTCGGCCGCCGGACCAATGTCACCAACTACGGCGGCCGCAGCTGCAGCATTTTCCGCCTACAACAATCACTTGTCCAGGCACTTGTTCCATCATCCGGCAGCAGCTTCACCGTACGGTGCATCTTTGCCATACGCCGGCAAACACATGCCGCCACCGTCTCCGTACAGTGCTTTCAACCCCACTACCGCATACTACCCAGGGGCCGCCGCTGCTGCCGCAGCCGCCGCTTATCATCATCAGCTGTACGCTGTTCCCGGACGCGACGGATCAGCTACCGTGAGCCGTTAATGAAACTCCCCCGGAATATAAATTGTTGTTATGTGCCACTGTGATAGCGTTTATTTGAAAGGACGCCTCCTACACGAGGAGCAGAAAGACTTCGGATCGTTTAATCTCCACTCTCCTCATGAATCGATGATGACTATTGTTTTTTTCTTTTTAATCATTTTTAGTATTTATTTAAAAAAAAAATTGTCTAATTTTTTAAAAGGAAGAAGACATTTTGTTATTGATAACCGTACTGCGGTTTTATGTTATTTTAGTCCGTGTACATATTCCGAGTGTGTGTGTTACTAAAGTTAATTTCACATTATTAATTATGTTTTTTGTTAACATCAGGTTATGACTTGATTTCATTTTCGAATCATCAAAATTTAATAATTGCAATTTTTATTTTTTATAGACACGTTGTTATTTTTAATATTATTAAATCAAAGTTGATATATAATACTCAACAATGTATTTTTTTTTCAATTGAATTAGTTATTAGTTATGTATACAGATATAATAAATATGTATAAAAAAAAGTAAATAAATAATAAATAATAAAAATCACCAAATGAGAAAGTAACTATTTTTTTTCATTTATAAAATCACTTTCCTTTTTCTATCATTTTACTAAAAGAAATAATAGAATATTATAATTCAAACAGTAATTTACACTGCAACATTGAGAGTAATTGGTGTATTTAAAGTGTAGGCTTATGGCTATTATTACTGTAAGTTATCTATTACCGAGCTGTTGGAACTAATAAGTATCCGTGGTACCAATGATGTAAGAATATTGGTTGATTGCATTTTTAAATGTGTTCAATCAAGTCCAATAATCGAAATAAGCGAGGCATAATTTTCTCTTGAATCACTATGTAAAAAATTAGTTATTTTGGAGTATAATAATAGAAGGACTATCACACAACGATTACTACAAATTGGACAGTTTAATTTTTGTTGGTCAGCTTCGTAATTTGCATTTAATTACTCACCTATTGAAATGCGTGTTATTGTCAGTAGAGAAAACAGCCATTTGAAATTCCAAATGACATCAAATCATGATGATTATGTTATGATATTTTTTTCTGCTCCTATCAGTGCTATAAAAAGTGATAAACATATTATTTAGAAAAGTTTTTGTGATTTTAATATATTACAAGGGAATCATTACTACATGAAGTATTTAAAAAGGACAACAAACATGAGAGTAATAAACTATTCTTTGAAATTTCTATCTAAACTAAGAATTTTTACAATTCTGCACATATATTTGCTGTTATCGCTTTGGTTTGGTGCTGATAATACCAACACTCAGCAGCTATTATTTCAAGATATAATAATCAGGCAAACTAGTCGTTTTATGTTACGTTTGAGAAGCGTCTGAGGAACCAAAGTCACGTGGTTTTTGGTTAAACATCCGGTTATTATACACGTGTAGTATGCACAGGGGTTATGGAAACTTTCGACTATGATTAATGCACCTTTGGTCTTCTGTTGTAATAGCTCTGCCCGTTAAAAATGATTAATGCTCAGCGTACGACTTCAAGGCAAGAAGACTCCGGCACACTTTAGTCCGGCTGAAAATAAAACAATGTTAGAGATAGACGCTTAAGTCGGCAAACTCGAAAAACAAAAATTTCACGTGAAACTGTCAACTGTCAAACCATCTCCTCGTTTTGCTGCTGATGACGTGTCCCCGTCATTAGTATAATAATAATACATTATATGACACAGTATTTGACTCGACAAACACACTAAGCAGTTATAATGGCACATCAAACCCGAAGTCTATTGATGGCTCTACAAAAATTAACATGCCGTAAAAAAAAAACAGCTTAAATAAAATACACATAACACTAGACATAGGTAATTGACATATGCGATTAAATGAAATCGTCGGGACAATCGAATATGTTAATATTGTTCGTTTAATATTTATTACTGACGGTAAATATTTAATAAAATATCGCAGTACATACAAGAGAGTCTATCAAATTTAATTGACAGTTTGACAGTGGAGTCGCGATAAAACTTTTCTAAATATTACCGAAATGCAAACACGCACACGGTGCTCTGTAGTAATACACACATTGTATAATAAAATGAACATTATAGTTGATCGTTGGTTTTCTTATTGAACAGAGGTGTATACGCATTTCAATATAACCGTCAAAATTATAATAAAACATAAATGACAGCCGTCGCTACAGACATGCATACCCTTTTTATAGTACAAACTGTGAATTCGATTTCCAATGACGCCTTGTGCAGAAGTTATTTTTTTTGTATAATGCAATAAGTTTACCTATCGATCACATGGTATACTCATAAGTCAAACTTCATAGTCTCACACTTCGCCATAGTTCTTAAAATTCTCAATCCTTAGTCGTATTGATGCACAACACATTTACCATTACACGTACACACACAGTGTGGTGGGGAGCATTCGATATAAGGAAGCGTGGGCGAAAATTCATTCTACAAAATATGGCCTAATAACTGCTATTTAATATTTTTATGAAACATAGGTTTTTTTTTCGAAAGATTACTCAACGTCATAACCTCCTTGAAATTCTTCGAAAGAAAAAAAACCCATAAATTAACACCGTAGTAACTTGCGGGGTATAATAATTTGACACTCTGTTTACTCAGATTTGACGTCGTTACTGATTGAATAATGTATACTAAATAACCTCGGAAAGCCTAAACAGTCCGTCCAGTGTGTAGTCGAGCCGATGCTGTTAATAGTAATAGTGTTGTATGGGTCGTACATGAGTTATGAATCTCGCGGCTACGTTCTTGTAGTCGACCCAATGGGTTACAGCGGCAATATTTTTTAATCTTAATGACTCCCACTGCTATCGGATGAACGACAGCTATACACTCGGTGCGCACACACGATAACATTACTTTAATTTCACACAGACAAGTCCCCGACGTGGGAAAAATCGTGTCGAAAAACGTTTGGGATTCTGACGGCAGTTCGGTCGTTTTTTGATAACATTTCAATACACCAACCAGCAGCTGTTGTCTTACGTGTCGATGTCACACACAATAGTAATCCTCTCAAGTCTCTGTACGCCACCTACTAAACGATACTACACGTTATGTGTCGGTCGCCGTTTATGTACTTGTAAACATATTAGCTGTTGTAATACGTGTAGTCGCATGTAACGGATAATAATAGAAAGAAAAAAACGAGTAACACGTACAATAAATAATAATATATTCAGAGCTCGATGAAAAATTGAATAACCTAATGAAGTCTGTTTCCAGTCAACGATTCAATAGGGCGCATCGTCGAACGGGCGAGGAGGGGAAAGAACTGCAGGAGAATAAGAAGAAAAAAATCGATTGTCCGTTTGACAAGACGAATTACACACGATTCATTTGTCTCGGCAATAACAAACGCGGGACTCGACCAAATTAATCAAGTCTGTATATGTGCACTGTTTTGTCTGTTGGTGTGTCTGCGCCGTTTATACATGTGTATTGTGCTTGGATGGACGGTTTTCTTTTCACGGTTTAAAAAATGATTAGTTGTGTGTGCGGGGCTGGCTCGGAGGCCAATGAATCATGTTGTAAAAAAATATTCACTGTGGCGGAGGGGGAGCTAATTCTGTCAGCAGGGAACCAGGTTTGACACGGTCCATAATTAGGACACACTCTCGTTTAATTACGCCATTAGGATAGAGGAAAGGCAATCATTAAAAAAAAAAAAAAAAAAAAGGAGAAAATGATAGCTAATTTGTACACGTCACGAGCAAACATTTATCATAAATATACGCGCATGTGAATAGTAGAAACAGAGAAAAAAGGGAAAAATCAAATGACAGAGAATAACGAGCAGCTTTTTTTTTTTATTTTGAATTATGCAAGTAGTATATTTTACTTTGTTTCACCCCTTGCCAACCTAACGGCATCGGAGGAGCTAAGTTATTGTGATGGGCAAACAGTGATGACGACGACGATCAATTTCACAGACAGGCTGAATAATACATAAAACGGAGAAGAAAACCTTATGTGTGTACATGCTTTTGAGAGTGTAGCTGTACGCATACATAGTTGGTTATTTCCAAAGCACTGTTATCGTTACAAAAGGAGCTAATGTCCATCAATTTACTCCTGTTATTCTAGTAGCGCTTTTTGTTTAATTATATTGCCAACCGAGGTGCTAATTGACAACATAAATTGCTTCTATGTGTCACAGCCTAGCCGATTTAACTAACAGACTTGGAGAAATCTTATAAATGTCAGTGCGATGAACTACGCGTAGAAAGTCAAGTATTCTTCATCTTAACGTTGAAATTATCAGCAATATGTGAAAAAATCATTTTTCTCTACTTCCTACATAGAATTGATTTATGTGTCCTCTTGGTGAATATTAAAAATAATTTATCTGTAGTAATTCAACTACTTTCTATAGTCAGTGCGTATGAAGAAAAATCGATTTTGTCTGACCCATCTATCTTTATGAACCCCCAAGAGAGTTGTAGTTGTCGACCGTCATTATGAAACGTCATTATCTGCAACTAACAAGGGTCCCTTGTCCGCAAAAAAAGGGGGAAGTCATCGTAGCTATTAAGTTGCTAGTTAAATTATGAACGGCTGCACTGAGTATTTAAAAGTATCTGTCAATGTTCCTTTATTCAATCAATCCTCTGTATTGTTCTACCTAATATTATGAAAAAACGCGTTCGAGTTCTTGACATTTTTATCGATAGCTAATAACGAACATCAGCTGTAATGATTTTTTCTCGCCTCTTACCGAATCAACTCTCGCTTTACAACATTCAGAAAATAATATCAATCGTCGGTATCGCCTGTCTATGTTATTGTGTTTATATAACAAGTTACTACAGTGAGATGTGGTAAGCCTTCGAGTGTACCGTACAAGATCAAAGAAATCTCTAGATTTTCGCTCGATTAAAGGTTCGTAAACAACCGTTAAAAAAAATCAAAAACGCAGTTAAACGTCCGACGATTGAATGCTCCGCGCCCATTGATTTTCAGCATGTTCTCCTCCCTACACCATTGTGCGGGGTAATTCTTTGGCGTTCGATGTATAATGATATAGAATTCATATCCCTCCGGAATCCCATGAAGTTAAGTTACTGTGTCTCGTGGTAAAGAGTCTACATAAATATTACAGTAGTACAAACTATAATAACTGTAATGAAGTATAAAAAACTCGTGTCACAACGTAATGCCGTTATTATAATATAACTGCGCTGTCCGTTTAAGTATTAATGCGTTACCATCACGCACTGTCATTCATTGACTATTCGTTATGATATTTACTATGCAATTATTATGATTTTTCCGACCTTGGCGAGCGGCACAAAGTTAAGGTTCACATGATTTTCATGTATTTAAGTTAAACTCGTGTCAAGTGTTGGTTTTCACAACAGCTCTTTAACACAAAGACCGTAAAATCATTTCATTATGCAATTTATTTTAGAGTCACCTAGAAAGTCAATGCAAATCTGCTTGGTGACGAAATAGTAGCCATTTTCAGATGTCACTTTGTCCGCAGTAAAAAACGCTAAAAAAATTGTGTTTTTTTTCT